GGGGAGTATGAACAGGGCGATTCTGCCCGAGGGCCTTGCTTGTCCTCAGCTAAGTGTGTGGCCAGTGCAGCCTTGTCATGAGTAACTGGGGAAGCGGACAGGTTTGGGGATGTTCCAGTGTTGTCTGGGGCACTGGATGCAGAGCCTGGTTGCAGGCAGAGCAGTGCCAGCCTGCCACCAGCCTCGTCCAAACCCAGGCTGGACTGAGCTGAGCCCACCCACAACCACCGCTGCTCCTCTCGAGGAAACTCACCCTGCAATACGGGACTTATCCCTTCAGTTCATCCATGCCTTCAGCTCCTTTTTGGGATTCCCTGGCTCTGGGGGCACATGTTCCCACACGGCCCACAGAGCCCTGCTGAAAACCTCAAGCTCAACACAAAACCAAAGACAGTGCCAAACTAGTCCCATCCACAAAAGCATGACCCTGGAGAGGAAGCAGGAGTGCTGAGGTCTGCAGCCCACTGGACTGGGATACAGGAACACAGGAACCTCTCCCCTAGACCCTCTGCTCTTTGCAAATAGCCTTCTGCAGGTGTTATAGAGGGACAGGGAGAGGGAAAGACGTAATTTAACACTTCATTAGGTAACCACAAGGCATTGATCTGCCCTACCAGCCTCCACGTTCTATAATTGCGTATCTCCGTTCTTATTAGTTCTATCGGAAAAGCAGAGAGCAGGACTCGGGAGTCTGATCCTATCTTTAGGAAATTTCAAACAGAGATGTAATTGCCGAGTGCTTTAAATCACGGTGCTTTATCCACTGTTAACAGTATTTTAAAGCCACGGTCATCAATAGCAGTCCTTGGGATGTGCTCCCAGCAGATGCCGTTAATCCTATTTTCCTGGATTGCCTGGAGCCTCTGGGCTCAGATTTACACTCGGAGGTAAGGGACAGCTCTGCAGAGAGGACTCCCAGGCAGCTCCGGGGCTGGGACATGGGGTGCAGCACCCAGGCACTCGTCACAGTAGCAGAGGGCAGAAACAGGAGCTCCTTAAACCAGCTCCATCCCTTGCAAACATGCCAGCAAACAGCCACCTTAGATGGAGATGAGCAACTTGACACCAGAGGCTATTCCCCTTCCAGGGCCCATGCAGCCCCCCCAAGTCTGGATCAGGGATATTCACAGCCATGCAAGCATCTGGGGAGGGCTCCAGGCAGGGCAAATTGCCTCACTCAGGAATAAACCACAACACTTACTACATCTGCAGATGAAATGGATCTGGGTGGCATGAGACCAAGACAAGCCCCTTGGCCTCTGCAGAGTGACCCGTCTGGGGTCTCTGGTGTCCTGGGGACTGAGGAAGCAGCTACAGCAGAGCAGCAGGTCCTGGGCAGGCGATGCCTGAAGGGGACGTCACCCAGGACATACTCAGGGCAAAGCTGCTCCCATCTCCATTAATCCACCCTGCAGAGATACAGGGGCAGATGGGACTATGGTGAGATTCAAACCTGTAGAGAATTTCAGCTGATGGAAATCTTGTGAGGCTGGAGGAGGAACAGATTATGCTGCAAGCTGCTGGGAGAGCCTTGCAAGCAGGAACGCTGCAGGAGGAAGGGAACCTCCTCTGTCAAATGAAAAACCAGCAGGTGCGAGAAATCTGAGTGTGCAGGAGGGAAAAAAAACTTTGCATCACACTCTGTATCCTCGAAAGCCAGTCACCTGCCTCTGCCAATGCCTCCAGGAGGGATTCCCCAGCATGGCCTCACTGCTGGGTGGGCTGTGTGGGGTTCTGTGCCCACCCAGAACATTTCTTTGCCCCTTCTGCATAACAGATGCAAAATCTGTGTGAAGAAAAAACTTGGTTTAGGGAGTTGAGACTGAACTGGAGCATTCCCTGGCTCAGGATGTACCTCTAGTCTCATGAGCCCTCTCAGCATTACAAAACATGTCATGTTTGTGTGCTCAGTGCCTATGGGCTCAGCTTTTATTTAAAGAGGAACCAGATATTATTTCCAATCTTCACTTGTGCCATGCTGGATGCCACACCAGGGGCTCTTTCAGCATCTCAGGTCTGCTATGAAAACAGGTGTGCATCTCTGTCATGAGTCCACACTGCGGACACACTTCCTGCTCTGCCAGGGCCCAGTGCCCGAGCTCACCTCCACGTGAGGGCATGTCCCTGCTGTGACTGTGGTCTCAGCACTCTGCTGCCCATCCCATTCCATCCTACCCCATCCCACCGGCCTGGCAATGGTCACAGCAGAGGGGTCAAAAGCAGGCATAGGGCCAGGGTGCCACAGATGGATGCTGCTGGAGCATCACTTGCTGTAGGGTTGGGAGAATGACCATATCGGAGCTGCTGAACAGCCACAGGTCACAAATGCATTCTTGCCCCTGGACGCTGCCAGGAGGGCCCTGGTTGAACTCTGGAGCAGGGGAGCTCCAGATAATGAGTCATTAGTTGCTTCAGAAGGGAAACGAGCCAACCCAACCTCTGTATGTCTGTAGCAGAGTGACTTGTGGGCCTTGGGACACTGCCAGGCTGTACATCACTGAGAAGTGGCTGAGGGTTCATCTCCCACAGCAGAGCCGTAGAAGCAGCCCAGCATGGTGGGTGTCCACCTCCCCAGCCCCTTCGTGCCCCCACGGGACTCCTGGGAGCTCCCAGCCTCTGGCAGCAGCCTGGCAAGGCTCTGAGCTGCCCTGCAGTGAGCGGCAAGCCCAGCTCATTTAATCTATTCAATTGGATTCAATTTCCAGCCACATGATTCAATTAGCCCTGGAGGGACAGCACGGAGAGCAGAGGCTGCAGAGCATGGCCCGGCCCATGCTCCAGCAGCTGCCAAGCTGGGAAAGGGCAGTGCAGTGTGGGGCCACAGTGGCAGGACCTTGTACTTGTCCTGGCCCTCTGGGGCGTGCTGAGGTGATGGGGTTGCAGGCAATCCCTCTTTTGTCCAGGAGAGGCAGGGGCTCGTCTGGGCACAAGCTGCTGGTCCTGAGTGATGTGTGAGCAGCTGTAGGGCAGAGTCTGGTGGAGCCCTGTCCTGAGCATTTACGTTTGCAGTCAGTCAAAACCCAGAGAGGTGACAGCCACTCTGGATCAGATCTGAGGTCTGCATCCTTGAGCACCTGCCAGGGTGGCCTAAAGAAGCTTTAGAAAGACAACAGGAGCATTCAGCGATGCTCCCCCGAGGGTGCTGCCTGTCTCATGTATTTGGGATCACCCCTCTGCTTGATCAGTGTTGCACTGAGCTCAACCACACTGTGCTGTGATGGGGAGGACCAGGTCTCTGACCAGCAGAAGGACTCTCAGCAGCCCCAGGGCCTTCCAGGTCCCACAGGCCTTGCAACAGCCCTTCTCCAGACTCCTGGCCTAGACTTCCATTCATCACTTACTTCTCTGTCTGCCCTCCTCCTGAAAGCATCAGCAAAGGCATTAATAAGTTCCCACTAGGAGAAAAACACATCTTATCCCAGTCCCTTCGGATTTCTATACCTCCCAAAGCTGGGCTTTACTTCTTTCCTTTCAGGTTACTGCAATAGCTCATCTGCCAAAAAACCCATCACCTCCACAGGGACATAATGCCATCCAGCACAACTCTGCTAATCCCAGCAAGTAACAAGACCAACAGGAGATGAGAACAGATATCCATAAGGCATTGGTGCTGACACCAAGATGGAGAGCTGCTTTCCAGTGCCAAGAGCCAGCTGTAAATCTTACCACAGACTGCTGGCCACACACCAGTCTGAACACACATGATGGCAGTTGTGACTTGGCAGGGGTAACAGCAACTCCCCCTGCCTGCCCTGTACTGAGCTGGGAAAGACAGCGGCTCCACCCTGGGAGGGAAGTGAGGGGAAGCAAGTGGAGCACACTGGGGCTGATCCCCTGTGCAAGTGCTGTCTAGGCAATAGCTCTCTCCAGGACTTCTCCTCCTGATACAGACCATGCAACAGTCTGACAGGACCCCAGAGCAAGGAGTGTCCAATTCTTCAAGCAAGGAGAGAAAAGCACCCCAACAGGCACCAGGACTCTCATGGAGGGCAGCTCAGTCCTGCAGAGGTATGGTCCCTGTGCCATGCAAAGGAAGACAAAGAGGTTTGCAAACCAAACAGAGCAGGTGGGTGAAGCTGCACCCTACCCTCTGGCTGCTGTACACGATCAGGGGTGTGGTACTACCTGCTCCTGGCACCTTCCAAGGAGAAGACAAAACATCACATGGAGCTGACAGACCATGCAGGGAAGACTCAGCTCCTGAGGAACTGCCTCTCTCGAGTCTGCATGAAAAGTGGGACCTGTAAGAGTGAAGGAAGAGACCAAAAACCACTGTGGCACTTACAAAACAATTTTTATAACTCCCTCCAAAGTTTAGCTCCAATTATTCTCTTCCAGAATTTGGTAATTATTTTGTACAATATTTGTCTTCCTGCAGCAGCTGCCTAATTCAAAGGCAGCAATCTGATATCTCCCCACACTCCCTGAGCCTCAGAAACAGCTCTTCCAATAACAGACTGAGTTATGAATTAGATACAATAAAATACATTCACCTGCTCAGATCAGATACGGGATCAAACAGGAAAGTTTGAGGCCATCAGCCACATCCTGATGCTGAACGTTAGTTAAATGACTCTCTGCTCCGTTCAAGCTGGCCTCAAAATATAAGTAGCAGCAGGGTGTTTAACAAAGCAAGCAAATGTGCAGCAGAATCTGTGAGCAGGAGTTTGCTGACACCAGCAGCAGAGAGCATCACACTGTGCACAGACAGGTCCCTGTGTCCCCCGCTCACAGGCTCTCAGCCTTGCTCAAGTTTTCCTTACTGGCAGCCCCAGGCACAGGTAAGAGGAATAGGGATGCTGACTACTGGCTGGTACCTGCAGCCAGGACCAAGGATGCAGCATGGCCATGCAGCACCACAACCTCCCTCTGCACACACAGGAAGAGCCCAAAGGCAGGTGACAGCCCTGCTGCAGCCAGTGTGCCAGCAAATGGTGACAGGGCCACCCCCACAACCACCCCACTCTCCCCCCCCCAAAGGACAAACACTGCACACTCTGGACAGTCAGGGCTCTGCTATTTATTGAGCTCTAGGTTTGTATGTACATCCATTTACAGTGCTTGGTTTGGTGACAGCATGACAAGAGGACGTGTGTCACAGTCTTCCCAAGCTCAGACTCGGATGAGGGCTGAGCTCAGGAGCAGATCTCAGTCACAGCCTGGGCTTCTATAATGATCCAAGCAAGGAAGTGTCCTGAGGGAGACAAGACTTTCAATAGTTGAGCCCAGACTGAGAAGCTGAAAATTCCAGAGGTTGCCGAGGCAAAAGCAGACTCATCCCAAACTCTCTCAAGTATCTGACTAGGTTCAGCCTAACTGGGATTAGAGAACAGGAGGCATGTAGACAGCATGATGACTCAATGTTCCGACAGTCATGATGCTGGGGCTGCACCTCCAGTCCCCTTGAGCAGGAACTCCCACCCTCCGAGGTGAGATCCCACACACAATCCCCCACACACAGATAAGCACCATGTGCTGCAAACAACTCTTACTCATTTTTCACTGGAAAAGCTGCCTCCTCTACATGCCCTGGCCTGTTCTCAAGCAGTGATTCTATGGAGCCTGTTTGCTCTCCCAAGCAATGTCCCTCTGACATGTACACATTTCCACACACTCACATGGCAGAAAGCAAATAAGTGTCTGGCTTAGTTGTTAAAAGCCAGACAATTCCCTGCTGAGGCATAGTATCTTCTGCTGAGAGAAGCCAGTGCTCCCAAGGAAAATATAGGGACTTCATCAGGTGTCATGCCCAGTGGGTGGCCAAGGACACAGTTTTCAGTTACCCATGCTCATAGCAGGTAAAGATGAAACATTAACACAATTAACGTACATTAGTGTGAATAAGCCTTGTCTATAAATGGTAGTAAATGAGCATGACATCCACATTACTCACACTAACCTACAAGGCTAAGAGAAGGACTAGGCACTTTTTAAAAAAAACCTGTTTTCTAGAGGGGAAAAAAAAAAAAGGTGGATCTGGGACATAAATAACTTCTCTGCTTCAGTCCACCAAGTCAGGACAGATCCTACCAGCACTGCCGGGAGCTGAAAATGCACGAGCAAGGAACGGGTGTTTGTGCTGTGTTTTCCTGAGCTAGGAGCCTGACACAGCACTCTGAACAGGCTCTGCCAGGCCTAAGCACCTCTGAAACACCGGCTCTGGAGCAGAAAGGTCTGCCTGTGCCTCACAGCATGATCCCAGAGATCTTCCTTAGGAAGTCCTCAGCAGACCGTGGCTGTAAGTCACTTGGTGAAGACAGGAGGGCAAGTGAGAAAGCGAAGTTACTACTTCTCCAGCTGCATTTTAACTGTGTGCTACACACAAGGGAAAAAATGGGGACTTCTTCGTTCATGAAGGTCACCAAATACCTGCAAACATGTGCAAGGCAGACGTTCCTGTGAGGAAGAGGAGGATTGTCGCAATGCGGTCTCTGATGGGCAATAAGGTGAGTGAGGAGGAGGAGCCAGCCTGTCCTCTGCCCCATGAAAACCAAGTATCTAAAAATGTCCCTCAACCTTAGAAACAGCAGATGAGCTGGGACTACTGGAAGCAACAGTGACCCCAAGCAGAGCTGGTTCCAGTAACCAAGTGCTGTGTTTGAGGACACATGTTCTTGCATACTGGCTCAGACTGGACCCTGTAAGCCAACAGCCTTGGAGGCAAACTTTCTCCTTCTCCAGTAATCCGATGGCTTGGTTGAAGTGACACCTTCTGACAGCAGGAGTCAGCAGTGAGAAGGGCCTGCTCCTTGGGGAAATTTTTACACTCCAAAGCCATTGCCCATGGGATGGCAGCAGATCTGACTTACGTTACAGGAGGGCAGTTGATTACATCATTACAGTTGATTCAGGATGATGGAAATGAACAGCCCATACCTGGGATCAGAGAGCTTTCCCCATAGAGCAGGTGAGCGATCTCAACCCAGAACAGTTTCACACAGCTGGGCAGGTTTTATTATTTTGGTTGTGAGCTCTCCCCAGCTCTGCTACAAAGGTTTCCAGTGCATCTTCCCTGAGCCTGTGGAGGGAATCTCCCATTGCTATGTCACAGGAACGGCTCCCCACTCCCATGGCACCTTAAAAAATTGCTTCCTCCTCAACACGCCAATCACCACTCCTCAGCCCAAGTTCTGTTGAAACACATTCCATTGGGATCAAAACACACAGCAGCAAGGCTTTCCCCTAAAAGAAACACAGTCCCTTCTGCCGGCGGAAGGCAGGGGGTGACCGGCTGCAGAGCTGTAGTGTCCCTGCCCACACAGGCCCGTCTCTGCTCAGCCCGGCGCAGCAGCAGCGTCCCCGCCTCAGGAGATCGTAGAGAATTCCTTCAGCAGCAGTTCCTGGCTCAGCGTGTTGAAAGCAAGGTTCTTCCTCACGTTGATGCTGATGGACCGAACCTGACAGAAACAAAACAAGATGTTTTAGCCAAGGGACTCCTCCTGGCTCCTCATGAGCCTGGCAGTTTTGACACCACTGACCTCCATGCTCGGCACGAAACTGTTCTGCACAGTTACAGCTCCACAGAACTTGATGCAGCAAGCTCTCGTTGAGACTCCAGCTTAGCAAGAAAACACTGAGATTCAGCAGTTTCCTGCAATAACTGGAATGTCTACAGTGACATCCCAGAAAGAAGAGTAAATTCCCAATGAGACAGGTGTGGGAGAGGATGCTCTGTTTGGATGCATGAGCTATGATGTGTTTCCTGTTTGGGGTAGAAATGGAGAAAGTGAGCACTTCCAGGTTGCAGCTGGAAGATCATATTGTATCAGTGCCCACTGGAGTGCCAGCCAGCATTTTCTTGGACTAATGCAGTGCCATGGCCTCTGTCCTGCTCCAGAACCCAGAGCCAAAGATATAGACTCAAGGAAAGTTCAGAGGTCGTGCCACTAAACTGAAAACACAGATTATCACCCAAGCTGGCAGAAAACCCTGGGTTCAGAGCCAGCTGTGTGTACTCCGAGTGCCTGACACTTGCAGCTGGCTCACTGACTGTCTCTGAAGAAGAGACACCTTTGCCCCTCAGTGACACCCAGACTTCTGGTCGCTCACAGAGCATGAAGAAGAGCTGGGCAGCCCTGTTACGCAGCCACTTCCCTTCCCCCTTCATGCCTGCAGACTCACTGGCCGAGCACACAGGCCCCAGACTGGGCTCAGTCTCAGCTGCACTTGGCAACGAGAAAACAAAGTCAAACATCATCTGTGTCAGCGCCTGTGCAGCAGTGACAGAAAGCAAAACTGACACAAGCTCATCCAAACAACGGGATTACAGTTCCCAGAGACTCAGAGCCTGTGATAATAAGGTTGTTGCTGACCTGGTTAGTGTTTTGTGCTTTTTAAAAGCACTGGAGGAAGAATTAAATAGAAGCAGAATGAGGAATCCAACACTGGGGATGGAAAAGCACATAAATATACATATACAAATATATATATATACACTGCTGAGGATCCCACTTGCTGCCCTGGTGAGAAAAAAAGAAGGGAAGGGCAGAAAGCTCCCCAAAAGGCAAATGTGTAAGACAGGGAAGGAAATCAAAACATGGAAGATTAACAAGGAAAGCTATAAAATGAATGCCAGTGAGCCCCATTGCACAGATCCTAATAACCTGAGCATGCTAGCAAAGGTGTCTATGCCTAAAGACAGAGTATTTAAGTTTCATGTCATCTGCAGAAACCACAAACTCTCCTTCATTAGGATGCTTGGCACAGACCCCATGTATTCCTTGGAGCACCCCCTTCTCATCTCTCTTCTCTAGGTGCTTTTTGACTTACTCCATCCTGAAACAGTTTGGGATCACGACCCTTAAGATAACCACAGGTTACAGCCTGTGTTAACCACTGCAAGTGGTCTCCAGAACACTGGTTTGCACTGGGCTGTCTTGCTGCCAGGAGACAGGAGTCTCACTGACAGGATTTGGTCCCACTCCTACCAAGTGCTTCCCACTCCAGGGATTCAGTCAATTCTCACCAGAGGGAAAGAACATGGCTAGCCAGATTCAGAGAGTCCTCTTCCCTGAGGGTCACGACTGCCTGCAGAAAAGGGGTAGATGCGACATGTAGTGTAAGCCTTATTCTGACTAGAAGCATTTCTATGGGTCCCAGCAACAGAAAGAAAAAGCAGGAATGTGACCCTGGCCTCAGGAACCGCCAGGGGTAGGCAGATTCCCAGCTTGTATACACATCAAGTTCTCCAAGCAGGATGTGCAGAAAGCTCTGCAAGCCCAGAAAGGGAGGAGTGGCATGATGAGAACACAGGGCTTAGCAGAAATTGTAGCTATGGAGTGGAGCACAAGAAATTAATTAGCCTGATTAGTTTGCAAAGAGAAGAAGGAATAGAGCAAACACTCTCCAATATGTAAAATGAGGTCAAAAAGAGAACAGTGAGTAATATTTATCTGGCTCCCCAGGGATGGGGCAAGAAATACTTAGCCTAATTTAAGACAAAGAAGATTTACATAGGAAAAGAGGAAGTACTTCTAAACCTACAGTTTGTGAAGCAGTGGAATAGCTCACCTGTGGCTACTGTGAAGCTGTTTTCACTTAAAGACAGCTTTGGGTTTCAAGAGGAGTTTTAGACACAGAGTTTGGTCAAGAGTAGTCTAGCTAGACTTAGATCTGCTTTTACACAAGTTGGGGAGAAGAACACACAAGACTGATGTTTCTACAAATCTCTGTCCAGCATTTCTTCTGCTGTGAGAAATCCGGCTGCCCTGAGCTAACTCACTGGAAAGGTAAGAACAGCTCAAATCAGAGTTAAATCGAGTTATCTCCACCACCAGGGCTCAGCACATGAGCCAGAGCTCATCTTCTTTTGGGGTTGGAAGACCAGACAGTGACACCAAGAGGTATCAGCCTGTAACAAGGATAAACTTTAGAAGCTTCCTGTGGTCTAGCTGAGCTGTTTCATCCATGAGGCTATACCCCAGGACTCCTCCTAGCCCACTGGTGCAGCAGGCAGTCCAGGCCTGGCTGCCAGACTGGAAGCTACCAGATCTCTCCAGGGTCACTTAAACAAGGGCCCCAAAACCACAGAAGGCAAGGTCAGATCTTTAACATTCATTCTGCAGGGAAGTAAAAGCGGATTACATGTCCTCTCTTGCTTCTGTTTGGAGCACTAGGGCCAGAAGAGCTTTTAAAATTGTTTTCTCCCTATTAGCCCACAAACTTTGAAGAAATGGGAAATGCATGAAATGCTGATATCATCTGGAGGATGATGAGGGAATGAAGGAATGGATGAAGTGATGGCATTAACCATGTGAGGAAAACATGATTCAGTTCTAGTTTTGTGTCATTATAACTGGATGTGTGCAAAGTTGCATAGACACTCCTATTTCACAGCAAGTCTCATCAATTAAACCTGTTCCTAATCAACAAGCAGCTCTTAAGATATTTGTACAATGGGAGGATGGTTTACACTGACTGCTACATCTAATTAAAAGTCAAATTAATGTAATTTCCCCTGCAGAAATCAATCCCTAATCAGACTATACTGAAGTGACTACTGAAATCTATCCAACTGCAAAGACAGGGAATGCTTTGGAAAGACACTGAATCTCTTTCCACACATTTCTTCAGCTGCAATGCAAAGGTCCAAAAGCTCACATCCAAACTATTCATTCTATCAAAGCACCACAGTCCTCAAATGACATCCCTGAGGCTTCAAAGGAAAAGATATAAAAAGTGTTAGAAAACTTCCTAACTTCCTTCCTTTAGCCCCCAAAGGCACCACAACAGGCCATAAAACCCAGTTGATAAAACAATCTGCACATCACCTTCCACCACAATGTGGCTGCAGTACCGCAGCCTTTGAAAGTTTCTTTGTAAAGGGAATGGGAGAAGAAAGCAGATTTTTCTTTGGGATTAGTAAGAAAGAGCAGCACTGAGGCAAAGCCAGAGAAGCAAAGCAGTGCATTAGCAAAGCAGGTCAAAGGAGGGAGAACAAGATTTCTAAGCATGAAGGAACCCAGAGAATGGCATGGGGAAGCTTCTGCTCACTCACTTAATGGGAGCACACAGAGATGAAAAGGTAGCTGAAAAGGAAAACGACTCCTGCATGTCATTCCCCACCCAAGAAGGGTTTGCTTTAATGCAATCACACAGATAGTCATAAGAAAACCAGGTAGAATCTGGAAAGAATTATTTGCAAACAGATCCTGTTCAAGAAGACCTGATGGGACAAGCATGAGTTTGGAAACCATACTGGAAACCTTTAGTTCACTATCAGCCCTGCTCGTTTGGTACAGTCCACAAAGAGAACTGCAGCAACTTCTCTGTGCCCCCTCCGCAAAATCATGCAAACCTAAGTAGTTAAGTAGTTAAACACAATACATCGGGTAGCAGGGCATTATCCAATATCAGACCAGCTACACAAGCCAAGGTAAAGACTCCGAAGCTTCACGAAAAGGAAGCAAAGTACATGGTTTGAAGAAGCTATGGGGAGGACAGGTCAAATTAGGACCTTTCTGATGAGTTATTTGAACAATTAATAAAGCCATCAGTTACTGTGCACCTAGAGAAAAAGAGAGCAAGGAGGCCGGGAGGCCAGCTGGGTTTGCTGAAGACAAATCATAACATATCAGGTTGATTTCCCGCTGTGTTGAGGGAATGGCTTAATGGAATGCAGGGGATTTTCTGTAGCTGTGAGTAAAGAACATTTAATAGGGTCCCAATTCTCAGGGCATCTAGAGATGTGGATTAAACAGATTCACAACTGGGTCAAATCAGCACATTTATACAGTAATTATTCAGGCTTTAATATGCTCTTGAGGAGAGGGTCCCAGGGGTACCTGGATGGGCAATTTTCAGAAGGGAGTTGACAGGCTGGTTATGCTAAACCGATTCTTAAATGATACAAAATTGGGATTTCGAGAAAAAAAAATCAGTCTAGGAAGAAAATAATTTTAGCTGAAGTGTTTTGTGGCTGTGATGATCATAGGACTGAGAATGTCATTTTAATCAATTGGCATGATCAGCCTGAGCTTCTGCCAGGCCAAGTGGAAAGTGGGGCACGCAGGAAGCAGAGCAGTCATGTGGCCAAGAGGCTGGGGAAGGAGATGCTGGCTGAGGATGGGAGCCCTTGGGACAGAACAGATGACAACAGAAACAGGAATGTGCCTTATTTCCACGGTACAGTAATAGAGGAAGTCTGTGTCACAAGAAGGTTACGGCCAAATTTCTTTGCATGTGTTCCAGAAAAGGTATTAAACAGCGAGCCAGAGAGACAAAAACAGGGACAAAAGAACACAGAAGAATGGCATGGAAGTGATTGCAAGTAGTTTTGCCCATATACTACCCAATGTCTGGAGTGACTCCAAAAGCATCCCATAAAAGGAAACAAAACCAATTCAGGTGCTTGCTCCAGAGCAGAGTAGACAGAGGAATGCACAACATTCCCAAATTAATGGAGGCTCGTGATGGAGTGGGCAGGCATCGATACTGATGCCTCATCAATAGGCAACGACAGAGCTGGGAGAGAGAATCAGCTCTCAAACTGGTGGAGAAAGCTGCCACAGTTAGAGATCTTTCCCTTCGCTGAAGCTGTAATGATTCCAGAGTGAGGAAAAACAGGCTTCCCTCAGATACCAGACATTACAAAAATTCTGCCTCCCTGCTGATGTGGCTCTTGGACAAGAAAGTTGCATCAGGGCTCTCCAGAGCAGGGGAAGCAAGCCAGCTTGCTGAAGAATATAACTACAAACCCAAATTATTTGGACACAGTTTTGTCTTCGCTCTATTAGTTTTGTGGGATTTCCTATCATCAGTGTTCTCCTCTTGCAGAAGGAGACATTTCTAGGAAATGCCTTCACTTTCTTTGCTTGGGAACCCTATTTTGTGAGTGATGGAGGAAAGCAACAAGGAGGAACATGTTTCACCAGCATCACATGCTCTGCTCAGTCCCACACTTTGTGCTCCCCTTAACAACAGCAAAAAAGCGAACTTGCTCTGTGTGATAAACCCAAAGTGGGAGCAGTCAGCTTCTCCCCATGCAAATTTACCAGTACAAAACACAGAGGATCACCATGGCAAAAGGGACAGACACTGACCAACCAGTGCTGGCCTAAGCAGTCTGGAGGTTCCTCTTCAGCCACACAGAGTGCTCCAGGAAGCTCTCAGATCTGTTGAGATACGCAGCGTCTGTCCAGACCCTACTCCTACACTGTCTTTAGAGGCAACCCAATGGAGTGACAGGGCTGCTCAGCTATACCCCAAATGCCACTGCCCAGGCCATAAGCAAAGGGTCTGAAAGAGGGTTGTTGATTCTGCAGAGTCAAGTCAGCTTACCAGCTCTTTGAAGAAGGCAGCCTCTTTATGCTGCTCTGAGTAGCGCTCATACTGGTCCAGTCCGTCCTGCAGTTTCAGGGTCAGCGTGTCATAGTTGGACCGCACCACTTCCAAAACCTGCCAAAGACAGCCAAAGACAGCAGAAGAGTCAACATCCACAGATACCTCACCACAGGAGGAGCAAGGCTGAGACAGATCACAGCTCTGACACCTATGTTGTTTTTGCACCATAGGTGGCTTTAACAGCCAATATTTGTCTTGTAACTCCCAATACAGAGATGAGCACTAAATGTTTCCTAATGACAGTAAGGAAGACTCCTCAAATTTATGGAATTTCTTCATTCATGAGAATAGTGTATGGAGCCTATATGTATGACAGCAGCAGCTTTCTGTCACCAGAAGTAGACACGATCTCAATAGATTATGCAGTTAATTACCATGTTTGCACCCCAATACCACACAATAGGCACTATACACACACAGGTTCCCCCGACCCCTTCCAGGGCTAGTTTTGCCAGCACACCGCCCACCTGGCTTGGGAATCACCATTCACCACCTACTAAACCACCAGCTTCTACAGCTGCTCAGGTCAGCCTCCATACAGAACACTGCACTTCTCTCCTGATAGGAACAAGCTTCTGACAGGCACTAAGAGAAGACCAACCCTGGTATGGACTCTGGTTTTAGAAAGAGATGAAGACACAAATCCAGGACTTCCTGCCCAGGAGATACTTCACTATCTGCCTTCACTGTAACAAAAGCACTACAGCTTTTATTACTGCCCTACTCTGCTCCCAGCACTAGGCTATACTTGCAAATTCATAACTACACATCTCTGTCCCATTGAACTATTCATTTTCCTAGCTAGGGAACACCAAGAGGGACTCCCACGATGAATTTTAGCTTCAAAGCATTGCATGGACTAACATATTCCTCAAAGCATTTGTGAGATGGTTAGTAACAATAATGCTCCTAGAAGGAACCATAGAGCTCAGCACTCCTGGGCAAACATGCTTGAAACAATTTTCTTAAAGACATGAACTTCTTTCTAGGCTGTTACTATTTGCTCTGAGAGCTAAACAGAATATCAGCATCTGAGGCCTGCACTACAGTAGCCCCTGCTTACGACAAGGCTCAGCCAGGAGGACACACAGTATAAGGTGCAAAGGAAAAGGACTCTGCTCCAAGGCACCACAGCTCAGAAAAGATCCTAAGAAGAGCATTGCAGAGGATTTAAGACAACAGTGACCAGAACAATGAAGAGCCCTTGTACTTCACCTTTTGTCCTCTCAATAAAGTAAACACTACCCTCAACCCTCCCTTTAGGCAGCTGGCAGCTCCTGCCCCTTAACAGGACTGAATCCTGTCCTTACATCCTTTATGCCAGGAAACTTGGACTTGCTTAGGGTTCCTTCAAAAGCTTGTTTCCTCCAATCTCTGCACGTGGCAGTGGTCCACAGAGACACGCAAGCTAGAGCCTGAGGTGGCAGAAGCCACCTAATCAAGGACTGGGGGCAAAGAAAGGGTCCCAAAAGCGGTTCCCAGGTGAGATGGTCATACAGGTCACTTTTCAGCTCAGTTGTCCTTCAGCATTGCAGAGGCAAACTAGAGGTAGGAATAAGCATTTGGACTCAATCTCAGAGGTCTTTTCCAACCTAATTGATTTTAATTCTGATTCTAATTCTGCAATGTTACTTAAGAACAGCCTGCCAGTGTCCTGCTGTTGTGAAAGCACACAGCCTCCTCTCCAGGACTCATTTCCTAAAGCTGTTTGTCAGCTCCACTGCCAGAGAGAAAGAAAGAACCCTCTGCAATGACAGCGATCTCCAAATTCAGCCTGCCCTTCTTGTCCCTTTGAGCCAAAGCTGCAAGAAGTATCACAGAGCCAAGAGCAGTGATGAAAGAAAGCTACCAAGGCACAGGAATAACTATCCACTAGGGACAGATCACGGTAGTATAAAGCACCTTCTTCTGAGCAATAAAGAATTCAGCATCTTGCTCCTGTCAATCGCAGGAAGCCAAACTGACCAAGATTAATAATAAGCTGCAGAGGAGCTTGTTTGAAAAGCGAGGAATCGAACAGGCTTCTCCAGCAGTAACTCGGGGTGAAGGCATTTTATTCAGGGCTACCCCACTCCCCAGGAACCTTCCCCTGGGCTCCTCTTCACTCTCCTTGTATCCTCTTATGCAGAGCCATGCACAGTGCCATAGAGGTGTGCCCAGACAATGGATGGACATGCTTCTCCACAAAGAATCAGGATTCCTCCTTGCTAGCTCTGAGTAGAGATCTTTTCAGATATTCAGAGGTATCCTCAATCCGTGGTAAAGAGAAGCAAACTCTGAGGGCAGCAGTAAGCTCTGTAACCAGTATCCTTTAAATCAGCCCTCCTGCATCCCCTTTGAAAGGCAGCTAAGAACTCAGTTTGATACCTTAAGAGGAGGACAGGAAAGGAACAAGAGGCCCAGAAGTCTTTACTGTGTTACCCACTACTTATCATAGTCTCTGCAATGAACTTGAGATCAGCATATCCCTTTAGCTACATATTTCACTGGTTTCCACTCCTTAACTCCTTTAATTATGAAATAGAACTTAAAAAGAAAGAGTAAGTTAAAAATAAACAGCTTCTCCCCACTGCCTGATAATTTCCCTTTCTTGCTGTTGCTGAGAAAAAAATGCTACGTGGGATCTGAGATAAACCCACTCACAGATAATTTCACTTCATATCTGGTAATGGATAGAAACTGTTACTGAGATTAGGACCTGCCATCCTTGAGACGATTTCATCTGTTCTTTAAGATGCAGCTGCTAGACAGAGGACAGCTTAAAGAGCAGCGGAAGATATTAAGAGCATTTAACATGAAGGTCTAAAAGGTATCAGCTTTCTACACAGATGACAAGGAACTCAAATTCCCAGTGCAACAGAAGACTGTGTGCTAGCATCCTTCGCCCTCCTTACGTGCTGCTTTGACTTTTGCTCAGGAAAACTACTGCAGGAAGAACAGCGCTTTTCATTAAACACACGAGATCTTTATCTGCACCTTTCCATCAAATAAAAAGAACTAGAGGAATTTAATTTTGAGATTAAAGCATTTCTCCTTCAAAGAAAATATGAATTCCAAGATGGTGAAGAATGAATGACTTGAAAGAAGGGACTTTTAGTTGGACTCTTCCAAACAGATTTTAAATAGTCATTCAAATTTTTACAATCTCACGGGCATCTGGAAAAACACCAGTTCTAGTGTCAGGCAAGGACAGAGGAATTTGGACTGCAGATTATTTCAAAGGAGCTTGATGTGCCACTCCTCAGATTGCAAGGGTGAACATGCAGGGCAAGCTATTTTTTTAAGAAATATTTTACTGGATCTTTACAGTAGGAAAAAAACCCTAATGGAGTCACAATCTAAAACCCTTTTTGTCGGTTACCTGAGGGGGATTGGAGTCCTAAAAAAGCAATATGACGAAGTGAGCAACTCAAACACAGTCAATACAAGAGGAGCGAAGGCTGCTGAATTCCTTTCCTGCAGTTACCTGTGTCAGCCCCAAAGGCTACATTTGCTCATTTACTCCACTGCAACCAACCTCAAGTCAGTGGAGCTGCACCACTGTAATTCAAAGATAATTTACCATCAAATTAACCCCCTGCCCCATCACTCATTCACTGACTGCTTTCGAGAAATTCCAGGGAAACATTAGCAATTCAGGTCCCTGCATTTATGTCCCCAAACCAACCTTTCAGGAGCTGCATCTCTGAGCAAGCGCTTTCTGTGACACTCAGATTTCAGCTTCCTCCTGCAGCTACAACTGCCCATGGCCCCTAACTCTCCTTCCCCAGTAACATGGACAACTTGTGAACAGAGGCATCCCCTGAGTAACACAGCAGGAGGGCTGGCTTCTGACAGAAGAGCTGATGTGGGGCTCAGCTCTCCACAGCATCCCACCCATGCCCTGCCCTGCCATGACACCGCACCCAGAGAAACAAGATTATTTTGCAGAGTTTTTGCCTCCTGACTTTGCTCCATCCACCAGCCTGCAAACTGGACGGACAACCTCCACTGTTTGGGTCGGTGGACTCTTGAAGACATGCTCGTAAACCAGTTCTCCCAGAACCAATTGCCCCCGCCCTGCAATTCAAAACAGACCACGCTTTTTCTGTACCACTCACTACACACAGGCTCCTTCCTTACTGCACCAGAGCTGTTCCCTCTGACTGACCCTCAAAAAGAGCCGACATACTACACTCTCCCAGGAGAGACCAGTCTCCTACCCCTATCCTACCCAACAGGCAGTCACTCTTAGCAACAAGGCCAGAGAGGAAGCTGAACTGACAATGAAACCTAACAGGCAACATGCAGCACTAGGGCCCATCTATCTGGAAGACACCATTTGCTTCACTGCTTAGTAACTTTTTAACCTGCAGAATCTTTCATCATCTGCAACTGCAGTCTTTACTGGAACATAAAATTAGAGAGCACCAGCAATTCACAGCACCCAGCAAAGGCCCCGGTGGTGGGTAGATTCTGGGAAGAATGGACAGGTAATGACAGAAAAATAAAAGGAAAAACAGAAGCTAGAAGAAATCAAGGTCTCTACACTGTCTTTTTAATCAGCACAGGAAATGACAAGAATGCAATCAGTCAGCATCACCAGTACCTCGCTAAAGCCTCTCCATGCCTGTAAGACAGTAATTAGATACCATGACACCAGAGCCGTTGGAACAGCACTGATTGAATGATCTCACATCAAGTAAAAGGCAAAAAACCACCCCAACAACCCCCAGGTTAAAATGCACTTGCCCCACACACCAATTCCATGCTGCTCACATGGCTAGGATGGGAGGAGGCCCTCCAGATCAAGCCTAGCAAGCCCTCACAGGATGGAAAAGTCAGGTGCTCTGTCCCAGCTGTCCCATGCCAGAGGATGGAGCAGCCAGGCTACGGGGCATGTAATGCCAACCTCTCATCAGCGCTACTGCACAGACATGGCACAGGGGCAGAGGGCAGCCAGGGACAGACAAACAATCCTCCCTGCAGAGGTGTTGGAGTGCCTCTCACTGCCTGTGTATCACACCCAGAGGGAATTCTGGCAGTTCCACCTCCCAAGCCCAGGCAAAGCCCAA